TACTATATATTATGTGAGTATAATATCGTTGGACCACAACTCTAGAACATAAAAGAGAAATAAATACACGTTCTCTTAGTTTTAAGCGCAAGCTAAACAATCCTAGTGCTCTTATAAAGTGCTGAGTGCAGCATCCGAATCGGGTACTAAAACAGACCTATTAAATTGGTATCTTCTTTGATTTATTTTACCCGTGCAACTGATGATTGTGTTTTGTTTCATATGTCCTACCTATTTTTTGGACCATCCAAACAGTTTCAATTTAAATATCCTTCCTTGCGTTCCAATTATAGGAAAATAAGTGACTATCTGGCTTTTTGCTTCTAAAATCTACAATCAACAAAATTTCTGTTGTAGAACTTGATCCCAAATCGCGGTAAGGTACAGATTGACTTTGAAGACACCGGTAACATCTTTCTTGAAGGAGCACCAGAAGAGGTGAAGGTGGGAAGCCTTTTTTTAACTCGAACTTATACAATTCGAATAAGTCTTTTTTGTAGTCTGCCCACTCAATTCTTTCTGCGGAGGTTGCTCGTCTTCAAAAAGAAATGTGTATTGAGAAAGTAAAGGTGCACCCAAGCCTCCACAGACATGTCATCGGTAGAGGCGGAGCATTAAGTAGGTTCCTTTTTCTTAGAGCTTCTAAGTTTTGTTGCTTTTCCCCCCAAAATCAACCGCTACCGCCATATTCTAGTCACAAAGATCAAGGATGAAACGGGAGTGCAAATCTCAATCCCGAACGAGCAGACAAACTCGGATGAGATTGTCGTTGAGGGAAAGAAGGATGGCGTGAAAAAAGCCGTCGAGGAAATTCGAGCAATTGTGTCGAAGATCGTATGTTCATTTGTGTTGTGACCCTATGCTCGCGTATCGATGAGTAAGCAAAACGTTTCTTAGGAAAATGAGAAGTCCCGCGACATAATTATCGAACAGCGTCTCCATAAACTGATTATTGGGGCAAAGGGAGAGAATATCTCAAAGATCCGCGACGCTCATCCAAATGTCGTAAGTTTTGCAATATAATCATTGCAGCTGGTAGAAAAAGCTGAGTTCACTTTGCCCTGCTAGCTGCAGAGTTCTGTTTCTTTCAAGGTCCTTTCATTCCCCGATGTCAACAAGAAGTCTGACGTGATCAACATTCGAGGTGACAAGAGTGAAGTAGACAAAGTGTACAAGCAACTCCAGACGTTGGCAAAGGAGCTTGTATGCTTTCTAAAATTGTTCATGAGAAAGTGGACGTGATATGAATTTGCTATTGTTAAGGCTGAAAACAATTACCAAGAAACGGTACCCATCTTCAAGGAGTTTCACAAACATATAATTGGAAAAGGAGGTGCAACAATAAAGAAAATCCGCGAAGAAACTCAGACCAGAATCGATCTTCCAGAGGTGAGGTTCTATAGTCATTGTAATGTGCAATGATAATGTGTTGACTAAGCTTAGCTCTCCGT